TATCGTCCCAAAGCAGCCGGATGAATCGAGGCGTCGTGTCGTACTCCCTTACATCTTGATTCCGCAGTAGTTCCTTCCTGCGAACCTCCCAAGCCTCCAGAGTCAATTCGCCAAGAGCGACGAAGAACGTGTTCTCGCCATCTTCAATCAGCTCAGGGTGCTCATCATAGAGATCTTCAACCAGCTTCCAGGCCACGTCCACGCGCTCTCCAGTGCATCGGCACCGCAGGTCGCTGATAACGTAGATGTAGAGGTCCAATTGGACCCTGAAAGTCATGTGGGTGAATAGGTGCAGAGAAAATTTGCTCCGGAGGCCCATGTCCACCAGCTCCAATGACGTTACGGCCGAGTTGAAAAGTATGTCGCTTTCTTCACGCGTTAGGTATACCTCGCCAGAGCCGCTAGCAGCCCGCCAGCGGGGATGGTAAACCTTGAACCGCATCCGCGTTATAATAAAACCCGCGATGGTGCGTGTGAGGCCATGGAGCGGTATGTTCTTATCGCATTTTCGTAGGAATTTCTTCTCGTAAATCTCCTCGAGCTCATTGATGGCCTCTTTCGCGTCGTCTCGACCCATCGACATCTTGCCTCGGGCAGGGCCGTGAATGATATTATCGAAGATCCTTGGAGCCTTAGCAGAGGATCGCTGCCAGCCGAAGACTTCGAGCTTCAGTAAAACGCACAGCATCTCGGTTGGACCGTCGTGCTCGATAGGGGCCTCGACCATGTCCGGATGCAGATCCGCGTCGTTGACATTGAGCGGGAGCCGTACATCGCCAAACTCGGATTCTGGCGGGGGACCGATTCCCGGAGTGCAAACAGCGCGACTGCGCGCGTCAATGCAGCGCAGCTGCCACCAGAGGCGGATGCGCATTTCCTTCTCGAAGAAGGAAACTGCAGGATCGGTATTCTCTCGGTGTAAACCTAACCTCTGACCCAACTTCACGGCGGCGCCGGCCAAGATGGACGTTAGATACGATTCTGGGTCTGCGAGGAGAAATAGGACGAATGCTTGTAGAACCTCGAGTTCTCTTGTTGTGAGAAACTCGGCCGCCATAAGAGCCCGGACGGTGGCGCCTCGGTAACGCATCAAGAGGATATCCCTGGTCTCCCCGAATGAAGCTTGGCAATCAGCCGTAGACATTGGCGTAACAGCTACCGTGTATATCGCGAACATGATCGCGGTCAGAGATTTGGATGCTTGGGAAGTATTCCAACTCGCCTCCAGTATCCGCTGCTGCAGAGTCGGCGCATGGACGATCATGGTAATTGGATGAACTTGTTCGACGAAAATCTGCCAGAACCGGAAGATGTGTCTTGGCTCCGGATGCAACTCGTGGAGCTCAGGCTGGTCCTTAGGATAGGCGAGTTGAAGCGGTGGCGTAGGGTGCCGGAAGGGGTCGTCTTTACGACGGAGGCTCTGAATAGGGGGATGCTTGAGCTTCGCGCGACGAATGTGTCAACCTTCAGCAACTAGAGCAAGTGAAGAACACTTTACCTCGGGGCTCAGATTAGACCATAAGCATCTGAACGAAATGTAAGCCTGATGCTTGATAAAAGCGAAGTGCTCTACTATACTGGATATGTTGCCCTGACCGTTCTACGTCTACCCTCATATTCTCTGGGGGGCCAAGTCTCGAGTCGGAATGACTTCGCGCGGAAATCAACGGGGCCGGACTCTGAGAGTTGCTTTCTTTCAACTTGGGATCCGGCGTTTCAGGAACCCACGTATACGTAAAGCGACTGAAGTCGATGTTGTTTTTCCGCATCAGATCTTCATACAGAGCCAGTCGAGCAAGCAGATCTTCGTCCCCGGCTCTCTTCCGAGGCCGGCTCGGAGCAGGTGCTTCGTATAGACAGCGAATGCGTGACTTGAGGCAGTTCGAGCATGGGTCGCCTCTATCACATTTGACCTTGCGGCGAGCACAGGTTGAACAGGCATGTCTGCGCAGTTCGCGCTGATCGATTGGTGGAGGCGATGTCATAGCGACCGCCAAAGTGTCTTAATCCAGTAAATCAAGAGGTTTTAAAGAAGGGTCCTTAAAATAAGCCCTCTCATTGATGGAAACCCAGGTGATCTTGAGCGTGAAGTCTAAGACTCTGTCTTGAAAAGGATGGCAGAGAAAACCTCGGGGGGCTCGGGCACGAAAATGGACTAGCGCGAACCGTCTCGGACCCGACCCGCCCGAAGCCCCTAGGCTAGGTACTCCTGAGCTGCTATACCATGCGTCCATGTCAGTATGTTGCAAGAACAATTAGATCTGTCTATGCCGCATGATATATTTTCCTCTACTTTCGGATCGCCATGGGGCGTCGGCCGAAACTCACGGGCCGACTTGTTACGGCCTCTAAGTATAAAAAGGTTTCCCTTCGTTTCCCTCAATTTTTCCGTTCATCCCTCCTTTTCCTAGCCAGGATATCTCACCTTTGACTCAGTGTCTGGGACATTCAACCGATTCTTTCGGATACCTTAAATGCCGTTGGCTGACATTCTTTATCAAAATCAGCCCGGAAAGCGAGAAAGTCGCAATGCCTCCCAGCAATACTAATCCGAACGAAGCCCATGCTACACCCCTTAGAGACGCCGAAGCCACGAAATTCTGTGAGCCAGTGCCTACCGCCAGCGACGAAAAAGGGAAAGACGACACGGATCTTGTATATCCTTATGGGCTGAAGCTCGGGCTCATCCTCTCCTCTACCTTCGTTAGCATGTTCTTAGTATCTCTGGTCAGTATATCTGTCCCTGCTTTGTTCTCTCAGGGCTTGGATAATAACAACATAGCAGGACCGCACGATCATCACGACGGCTATTCCAAGGATTTCAGACGACTTCAGCTCAGGCACCGACATCGGCTGGTACGGATCCGCTTATCTCTTGACGACGTGCGCGTTCCAGCTTCTGCTTGGAAAGATTTATTCTTCTTTCAGCATCAAGAACACCTTTCTTGTCTCCGTCTTCATCTTTGAGGTTGGGTCCGCCGTGTGCGGGGCGGCCCCGAGTTCAACCGCCTTCATTATCGGCCGAGCCATCGGCGGATTGGGAGGCGCGGGAATCACCAGCGGCGTGGTAAGTTTCGCAACGGGAATAATATAACGAGGAGGCTGGCCCTTTTTTCTTAAGCTCCCTAATCTATGTTCCATGCAAGACTTGGTTGATTGACCTAAGTTCTTCCCTAGATCGCCGTCATCGTGCACGCCGTTCCGTTACACAAACGACCGTTGACTCAAGGCATGATCGGTGCCGTGTTTGGCCTTGCATCGGTGGTCGGACCGCTGCTCGGGGGTGCTTTCACGTCCAAGGTCACTTGGAGGTGGTGCTTTTACATCAACCTTCCGTTCGGAGGAGTAGCTATGGCGGTAATACTATTTCTCCTGAAGATTCCCGATCAACATACCGCGAAAGCACCCGTCAAGGAAAGATTGGCACAACTGGACTTCTATGGCACTGCGCTGATTTTGCCAGGCTGTGTCTGTTTGCTCTTGGCGCTGCAGTGGGGTGGTTCGACGTATGCTGTAAGTTCAAAACTCTTGACTATTAGACGAGCAAGGATGCTGAGGAAGTTGACAGTGGAATGATGCCCGTATTATCGCCCTACTTGTTCTCGCTGGCGTGTTGATGTTGGGATTCGTCTTGGTCCAGATCTTCCTTCCTAGCACGGCCACCATGCCCCCTAGAATCTTTATGCAGCGCAGTGTCCTTGCTGGTTTCTTCTCGGCGCTCTGCATCGGGGCGCATTCGATGCTCTTCAGTGAGTATTCCAAGACTTTGAATGTTCAAGATATCCGAGTTGGCTAATTTGATACAGACTACTACCTTCCCATCTGGTTTCAAGCCATTCAGGGGCTTACAGCTGTGGACTCGGGAATCCGCACCCTCCCTCTTGTCATCTCTCTAGTCGTTGCCTCCATGTCTTCAGGCGTTTTCATCTACCGGATCGGTTATTATACGCCTTTCATGATTCTTGGCGTCTGCTTCATGGCTGTGGGGGCTGGCATGTTAAACACCCTCCAGGTCGATACTTCCACGGCCAAGTTGATCGGGTACCAGATACTCTACGGCTTTGGCTTAGGCTGGGCCTCACAGGTGCCAAACCTCGCAGTGCAAACTGTCCTACCGAAGCGCGATATTCCCATCGGTACATCACTCATGTTCTTCTCCCAGCTGCTCAGTGGTTCGATTTTCATCTCCGTCGGCCAAAACGTTCTCGACAGCCAGCTCATCCAGCGCCTCTCATCGCTTCCCGGGTTTAGTCCCGAAATGATACAGAACAGCGGTGTCACCATGTTGACCAATCTGACAGCGTCTACCAAGGCATTGGTCTTGATTGCGTACGACGAGTCGCTCCGACAAGTTTTCCGGGTCGGCCTGATTATAGTGTGCATCAACCTGCTCGGCGGGCTGGCGATGGAGTGGCGCAGTGTTAAGAAGAATGCGACGACGCAGGAGAAAAATAGTACTGTTACAGAGGCTGAGGGAAAGCGAAGGTTGCACACTGGCGATGGCGGCATTGGTAAAAAGAAAACCCAGACTAGTACCTAGCTGGGACCATATGCTAGGCACCTACCGAGCCCCTTTTCTTCGCATTTTCGATACTCTCCCCTCGCATATCTACCTCCTATTCGTATAGAGACAAGGAGGATTTACTTAATAAATTAATATCCATTTCATAGCTCAACAGTAGACTCTTATCTCTTATCCTGAGTACCTAGCCGCCTTGGGTTAGTCCGGAGCTGCCGCCCGGCGAGATTTGCTCAGTCGATTATTCAATATATGTTAGATGCGTAGAATGATAGCTGCAAGATGAGATAAGGATATTCAAACGTGGTGATTTGACAATATGTATTAGTTAGAGTGTATGTGCCTTTTAGCCGGGTAGTCATTCTTGATTTTCCGTGTCAGCATGTGAACCTGAGATGGACGACTGTCACTGTGGTGGAGCAGCCTAACGCAAACATCCAATATAGTCATAATTAAGGGAACCTTTTACCACAACCAGTTAGCCCCTATAGCTCAGTGGTAGAGTACATCACTCGTATTAATACATGTGATATGATGGGGTCCGTCGTTCAATCCGGCGTGGGGGCATAACATTTTTCAACCTTTTTGACGATTTTTTTGAGCCACACCTATTGTCCGACTTGAATTCGTCCCCTTTCCGATCTATTCTCCTTTGGCGCTACCACTACCACTATACATGAGAAAGGACAGCGCATGTCTAATTCATTGAATACGAGAATTGCGCAACCAAATCTCATGCTCGATGGTCTGATATCCAATCACCCATTTCATCTCCCAGGAAGGACGCACTTCCAACTTGTCGCCAACCTCGTGTCATTAACGCCATCCCATTTGCTGGCCATTGGATAGGGGCAGTAGGCTGGTTGATAAGGAATCAGCATATGAACTGAAATATCTTGAAAAATTTACGATGGAAGCTACTCACTTCGCTGCGCTGTAACATTCCCCCCGATAATATCGTTTTCGTACTTCGTGCCGACCAAAGTCTGTGGTGCTCTGCCATTCTCGACCCATTCAACCAGCGCGAGAAGGGCGTTATGTTCAGAGTCCAGCAATGCCTTATCATACGGGTACTTTTGCGCGTTTCCTAAACTCCAAGCCCCTAACCCCCCGGAGCAGTGGTGCATGCCTGGAATGAAGAAGAGTCGGTAGAAATCATGGGTTTCTTCCAGCGTGAGGTTCAATGAACTTTGGACTCCAACGAAGAACTGCTCAGAGAGCGCTGACGTGACGGTCTAGTCTTCAAGTCAGTGGCTGCTTACCATCAAGTCTCAGCACAAAGCAAGGGGCTAACTCACCTCGTCATTGCGTCCGTGATACGAGATTATTTTACCTCGTCTACGGTTGAAATCTGATAAGTCCGTCTCGCCCGCGTTTACCTGTCCTGGGTTGACTTTCACGGCGAAGTCCATGTCCGACTCGCTGAAATCATCTGGTGTCCAGGTACTGTCATTATAGACGGCACCACGCCAGAAATCCTGCAAGATCGTGTAGCTCATTTCTACCGTGCCATTCTCCTGGTTCTCAGAGAAAACGTCCGTTGCCGAACCCAGTTCAAAGGCAGGATAGACAATTTGGCCTGAGCTATTCGCGATGGGTTCGTATGCTCCTCGAACAGATTCTATCTGCTGCGGGCTGAGGCACAACGAAGAATTGAGCACACCAGTTCCACAGGCTAGGCCCGCCGGGTCGAAGCGGTACTTCGTCGGCTCATCGATGATCCCATCCTTCACGCCATCGAGCGGGTCTAGTTGATCTATCTGGGCCTCGACGATGGCCGGCCACTGTTCCGGACGAACATACGCAGAAGAGTTTAATTGTGGCCAACCGATCCGTCGAGCGAGGATACCCTTGGACGCGACAATATGCAACCAGTTGATACCTGGACTTCCTAGGAGTAAGCCATCGAAGTCTCCAGGATACAAGTGCGCATTCTGGAAACCTTGGCGACCCCCAGTACTGCACCCTGCGTAGTAGTTCTTCGTCGCTCCTGTCCCGTAGTACTGACGGACCAATTCCTTTCCGACTTCGGCTTCAACGTGAATAGCTCTGTGGCCGAAGTCATTGATCACTTCCGGATGGTCCAGAAAGAAGTCGTAGCCTACGGATCCGTTGTGTCCAGCGTTAGTCCCGAAAGCCGCGAAACCTAGCCCGGCTCCGTTCTGCATGGTAGCGTAGTCGATGCACCCGCCTATACCCCCATTTCCGGTAGCTAAGAGCCGACCGTTCCAACTCTGAGAGTCCGGAAGCCATGCTTCTAGCTGGACTTCACTCGATGAAGTGGTGGCGATAACAAGCACAAGACGGCAGATATCAGCCGTAACATTGGCTCTGAGGTCTGGTCCCCCGCAGGACTCTACGGTCCCGGGAAGCTCGGCGACAGTCCCGTTGAGGAGATGCTCGTGCGCAATCACTGTGGCGTCAGGAATTGAGACTTGCGCACTGAATGATGCACATGTGTCTGCGGAACATGACGCTAAACGTGCGGCGACCCCGAGAACGAGGCTCAGGCTTAAAGAAGATATTGACATCGTGAGGGCCGATGCTGTATGTTGTCTGTGATCACTTAGGTATATTAGCCAGCACTCCTACTGTCCTTAAACGATAGGATAGTAATGTTGTCATATGCACTGGCCAATAAATACGACTAATCCTTCAGCGATTAGCTATTCAACTTTTCCCTCTTGGGTCTCCTCCCATCCTAGTCGAAGTGGCACTCGTTGCGAAGATACCTGATGTATTGGGGATAGCTCCGCTCACAATTGGAGTAGCAATAGAAACCAATAGCCCTCTAAGCGGGTCATATATCAGGATCTATGCCATTCAATGGCAACAAAGGGCCCCAGAGAGCGGGACTCCAAAGCCGAAGCCCTTCCCCAGGTTCTCCGCACCTACTAGCTCTCCACGTCATGTGGTTCCGGCAAGGAGTAAAAGTTACAGCTAAAAGGACTCATATAATCACATTCCTAAAGCTGGGGATTGGTGTCTAATAATTCATTGAATCTAAATTCGCTAAGAAAAGGTAAGGAAATGGACTAAGGAAATGACGTGTCGAGTTATTAGGGCGAAATTATTCTCGGTAGTATAGCAATCAACGCCTTGTAAGCCCCCTAGCATGCCGTCGTTGAAGCAGATAACCTATAACAGCAGAATCTCTAATTCAAGTAGTAAAATCCTCCTTCAAGGAGTGAATGAGAATTGAACGGACGCCCCATTTGTACCGCCGTACACGTCTTCCGGGATATATGTGATGACATAGAACAAATGACCACAGGGGTCTCCCTGAGGTGGTCGAACTTTTTAACGCCTTTGGCCATAAGACGACAACGAGGAGCTTCCGCTCCCTGTGGACGATCCACCTGGAGCTATTTGTCTTTCATCCTTTCCTTGATAGACATTACCCGAACTGGTGTCCCACACTACAACGATCAGAATCAGCTGTCGTCCCTCTATTTAAACAACGTAGGGGAAGGTGAAGATTGCCTCAGGAGTAATCCTTAGTCAAGTTCTCGGGATTTTAAGTTTCTCGAATAGATCAAGGCGGGAATAAGATCGGTATTACATACTCAAACCCGTGCCATTGCAAGGTCGGCACTCTTTAACTCTAGCAGACGAAATTATTAGCTAAATCTTCTGGTATGGTTTTGAAGGCGGTGCTAACATACAATCTTGGGGTACCAAGGCAGTAAGGGCACGAATAGGGCATGCGGTGGTCTGGTCCAAAGCCATATATCCTTCTATCCTCCAGTGCAGAGCTCGAAGAAGTACTCGCTGACTGAGAAGACATTGTCAAGTCAAATAGAGGAGTAGATAAGAGTGTTTATGTTATTTGACTCGAAGATAGAACACGGCCTCTCTGAATTCTGTTGTTATCTGTCGTAGAGCTTATGAAGTATCCCTTATCCTTATATAGCAAGAGTAAGGCTACGGTCTGACAGAATATTGTCCACCCATCATATGCAAGGTACTCTATCCGAAGGGCGTTCTACGTAGACCAAAAACTCACCGACTCACGCCATGCTGTCACTCATGCATTAAATATCGTTTGCACTTGTAAATCTAGCGAGGCATCCATTGAGATCTCGGGAAGTGTCGTATTTCAAGCAGGCTTTTCGCTCCCTTCTTGGTGCCTGATAGGAGCAGACCATCTAGGCTCTCGTTTCAATTATCTCCATGGCGTTTTGGTACGAGATATTCCAGGCGCCCCAAAAGCTGTATCACTTCACGTCAGGTCACGCCGCAGCTTAAATCAAGCCCTTAAGCCGGGATCGGCTACCTCTTGACGAATCACCCCGTCATCTCGGACCCAAGAAACTCATTAGTCTCTCCACGGCGCCTTTTTTCTGCATATCGTGCATCGCGATCCTCCTGCGCCACTGTTACGTATTGATAGGGGTCGGCGAGGTCGTCGCTTGCTGTCTCCCAAGCGGTCCGATTTCGATTTCGTCCCGGAGGAACTTTTCTTTTCTAGAAAAGTTGGAAGCGAGCTAAATCAGGATATTGCGGCAAGATCAGGCAATGTCCCATAGTTCTCACAGTGGCCCTACGGACTATTGCTGCCCCCAGTCTGGGCCGATCAGCTGCAAGTAGCCGCAAGACGGGCTGATATGCTTCAGCATTCTATGGCGACACGTAACAGACGCATCATCCGAGGACGGTAACCTATGGAGGACAAGAGACGCTAATTGGTGTGCCAAATATTCAGATACCCGCAGCTGAATTCGAATCGTGGCTTTTTTTTATTTCTCATCTTGCATCGAGTCCGAATTACACAGCTGCAGGGCGATCGCTTGGCGTCGGGAGAGTCTGGACGAACTACAACATCTTCCTTTCCCGGCGATCTTGGTCGCCTCGAGCCGGTCACTCGGCACGCAGGCGCAAGTGCCCGTGGACTAACAATCGGATGGCACCCCTAATCAAAATAGCGGTCATGGTATTAGACTACGAGACGAGAAAAGTCCCACTCCATTAGTTCTGTAGGGCTTTGTGCTACAACGGAGAATACCTATAAGCACCGCGCACACTTAGCTACCTGCGTCCCTAGGAGGTACCTATCTGGTAAGATCTAATGCTGTCAAACTCGGCTGTGCCAGAAGTGGGTTGATCTGAACCCTCTGGGCATGGTCATTTTTGAATTTAACGATTAGTAAGTTAACATTAGAAGTTGTTCTCGGAATCTGAAAATTCGAGTTGTTGCGACATAGGTTCCTTGGTTCACACCCCTTTTCCATGTGCTAGGTAGAGCTCTAGTATCCCCTGAACGCCGAGTGCCTCCCAGTTCTAATTCTTCTTGGCTGGCGCCTTATCTCTTCCTTGTTTCTTCACCTTACTACTCTGAATTTCTCAACGTTCTCGCTACAACCCCGACCGACCTTCAACCAAGGTTTCCTCTTTTATTCTAGCCAGCCTTCAACGCAATATCCGAGGAATATACCCATCGTTAATGCGATGTTTTACCAAGTTTCCGTCTCTAACCCGCATTTCGCATCGGATCCATAGGAAGATTGTTGCCTTCCTACCTCACAAGGTTTTCTATATGGAAGGGTATTCAGGTGCGAATGGAATCC